CAAATGGTTCTAATGCATTAGTTTTTTCAGATATATATATCCTCCTGCTCTGGTGCTATTAAAACCACCTTAAGAAGATGTAAGAATCATTTTCCAGCTTGGTAGCTTTAAGTATGTTGGAGGCACAGAGGTTTTGAAAGGTTAAAAAAATTCTTAAAGTGGATTGTGGTATTAACAATTTTCTCAGAGCCTTTTCTTGCTAAAAGTAAAAACATCACATGGATTTAATAACTAACAAAAATGCTAATGTCTTGAAAGATACATTGTTTCTTCCAGCATAATTTACTACTTCAGAAAAATGACGTTTTGTTCCACAAAGTCAATTAGTGCTTAGCTGCAGAAGGAAAATTTTTTGCTCCTTGCTTCCTTCCCAGAGGAAATATAATCAGTGATTAGAAAAAAAAGATCTGATACACAGCATCATTCTCTCTAACATCAATTTTCTGAGTGATACTTAATATGGTATCCCTGGCTGCAGGACAATGCAAGTTATGCTTATGAATCAATTTGTGATACTTAATATGGTATCCCTGGCTGTAGAACAATGCAAGTTATGCTTATCTGCATTGCCAGGACAACCTAGAAATTTTAATAACAAATATTTATAAAGAACTCTTGGATCTGCCAGTAAAGAAAACTGTATATGTAAAATACTCTGATGTGTTTGGATAAGCTTTTTTGTTTGTTTACATAAAAAATTTACTTTCTCTTGATACTTAATATGGTATCCCTGGCTGTAGAACAATGCAAGTTATGCTTATCTGCATTGCCAGGACAACCTAGAAATTTTAATAACAAATATTTATAAAGAACTCTTGGATCTGCCAGTAAAGAAAACTGTATATGTAAAATACTCTGATGTGTTTGGATAAGCTTTTTTGTTTGTTTACATAAAAAATTTACTTTCTCTAATTATGTTCAGAGAAACCTCAGTAGCATAACTTCAGTGAAACATTTTTCCCTTCTGAAACAGAACTTTAACCTAACTTTTCTTACCATATGTTTCTAACACTTCCTTGTCAAAATTCAACCATATTTCCAGTTAGATTCTCTACAGATGTTTTAGATCGATCAGTCATTTGAGTCTTGTGGAAAGATGAGAGACAGAAGCTGCCTAGAAATCTTGTATTAAATTTTTAACTTAAGAGACTCCAGATAGGCATGTGCTGCTCATTAAAAGCAGCTGAGGTGGTAAATGAACTTTTCATTAACGTACACTTGTAGTATTTAAGATGCATTGTCTTTTCAGGTGTGCGGTCATCATGTACTTTTCCTGTACTCAAACATGGCCACACAAATGTAAAATGCAAACTAAAATTACAAACAAGAAAAACTGCTTTAAAGCAACGGCAACATTTCCTGGCAGAGGTCACAGAATCAAAGGGAAAATAAAGTCCTCAGCTTCACAGAAATGTAAAAACTTAACAACACTCTGAAGAAACACATTTATTGCTACATAATAGAAAAATACTAATCATAACCTCCACTCTGCTAATTAAAGGACAGTGATAGCCCAGAAGGAATTAAAAGCCACAACAGACAATCCTTCATAATTAAAATCTTGACTGGACAACTCCTTGTTGAAAGTCTGGAAGAGCTGCCATATCACATGGGGAAGAAATGCCAACAGACTGTCGTAGTAGGCATCTATGAGCTTAGTGCAAGAAAGGCTTAAATTACATGTGCCTCAGTAAAACAAACTTACTGAGAAATCAAAGTCCAGTGTAACTGTGTTAGCTCTATGAGTGAACTTCCTTTGCAATTCTGCCCAGTGCATACAAAACCAGGGAAGACCTGTGGGCACTGCTCCCTCCTCCCACCTAAGCACACCCTGTGCCTGCATTCAGCCCAGGCAGGAGCCAACCCGTGAATAACCTCATTGTTTACTCTGTAACAGCCATGCAAAACAGCTCATGACTTCCCAGCTGCAATTAGACATGTCTACATGCAATTTTCTTAATACGTATGCAGATATGCTGAAATTACTCAGCTAATGAAAAAGGCTTCCCTGGCCCTAGAAAGGTTCTTTGGTAACAGTTCTTTTTAAATTAGTATTATCATATGAAAAAAAAGGATTATTTTTGGTTGCTATCAATTCAGCCTTTTCTTTTGGATCTGCTTTCTCAGTTCACTCACTGACTTTTTGAAGAGGAGTTTTGTTCTATCAGTGTCTAAGTGCATTATTTGGAATTCATGTCCTGGTAAAAGGTGTTCTGACTACAGCAGGGACCTTCCTTCACATGCCTGGAAATACATAGCCAGTCTGTAGGAATGTATGTCCCCTCCCAGGTTTGGAGGTAAAGGCCACAGGTGCACAAACCACATGTTGTGTTCCAACCCCCTTCCCCATCATCCTTCTGTCTCCATTCCCAAGGCTCTATATGAACCACATACCAGACACAGCCTTTTTAACCTGACTGAATAGGTCCAGTCTACACCTTAATTCTTACCTTCTCTCTTTGCAAACCTTTCTATAGGGGGAAATCTGCCATCTTGAGGGGGGAAAAGAAGGAAAATCCTGGGTACTAGCTTGTTCCATTCCTTCTGTTTCACCAAGGATTGTCACTGAAGTCACTCTGAATTCAGAGCAGTTATGAAGTAGAGAAGCAAACAGCACCTCATAATAACCTTATTGTTATGATCACTCATCTTCCACAGGACAAATGTTTACAACAAAAACTGTTTCACTGAAATGTAAAGGTTCATTTGGAACTGCTTAGGTTTAGCAGGTTTCTGTGGAACTGACAACAGACAGAACTGTATCTCAATTGCATCATTTCTTGAGAATCATCAGTTTGGGGGCAGAAATGAGAAAGTCCTTGGCAGCTATTAAGTGAAACTGATAGAGTAGAGTAGCCATGAAGCTAGCTAGAACATTCATTTCAACTCAAGAGCTGCAGCATCTTGGGAGCTACTAGTGTGCCAGCAATTTCAGTGCCTTTTGGTCTACACAATAAATGTAGCAGCTGTAAGCAAAACAATTGCAAACTTCAAGAAACTCCATCCCTAATCCAGCTCTAGTCATTAGAAATAGTGACAACATTAAATCAGAAAATACAGGATGTATCTAAACAGTTTAAATCAAACGTGATCCAAAGGATTAAAACACCAACCAAACAAAATCATTGTTGTGAACAGCTGAGGTACTTGATTTCATAAAAATAATCACTAAGTGTCCCAAAAAATCAAATACCATCATGAAAACTACCTGCAAGTCTCATCTGCAGTTTCTACCCTGCACAATCAAAGGAAAAATAAACATGTATAAAGCAAAAGAAACTCTCTGAAACGTTCCTGGCAAAGATTTGTCTTGTTTCAGTTTTGCAGTAGATTTCAATTAACTCCTGCAGATTTTGAATAGGCTGTGCACACACTGAGAGAAATTTCACTGTGCACACAGAGAATGCACGTTCCAAAGAGCACATCAGCCATCATTCAAGCACAATAATTCTCAGGTGAAATTAAAACTGTAGGTCTGTATCTCAGCTCTCTGAAAATGTGACTTTGCATTCACTGCCCTTTGGGGCACAGCACTGGATCAAAAATAGGGTTTTTAACCACAATTCAACACAGTTCAAAGGTTTTCACTATAAATTTAACTTCATGTGAAACATTTGCACAAAAAGCAAAACAAATCCCAATGTTTCCCATTCCTAACAGGTCTCAGTTTGACTACATGTGACTAGTAAACGTCAACACAGCAATAGGCATCAGTTTTCCAAAAAGCTCAGGGAAGATTTCAGACATACAAGTGACAGGAATGAGCTCTGGGCTTTGTGTTTCACATGGCACCACGTTTTAGCCAGGGGCCCAGGAACTGGGAGGCTCCCACAGGAGTACAGCTCTGTGTAGCAAACTGTTAACACCTGGTTGGCCTTCCCATGTGGAAAATCACTGCTCAGCCCCTTGCTACATGCACCCCACTTTGGAGACCAAGGCTACATGCAAAGTGCCCTTCCAGGTGCACTACAGTGAGCCTCTGAAGTCTTCTACACAAGAAGGGAAGTCAGAGGAGGCATAGTCTAGTAGCTCAAGTATTCTGCAGTTCTTGCTCTCCACATCATCTTTTACCATACACCATCTATAAAACCACAGATGAGAACAAAGCATACCTCTGGTCCTAAAGCTCACTTTGATTGTCACTTAAATAATGCCTGTCATTAAAAAAGTTGAGTAATAATTCTACAGTGAATTGGCTCAGCCTAATAATTAAAACAGATTAATAGTGAAGACAAAATTAATTTTCCAGTATCTCTCTCCTGCCTTTGTCTCTGACTGAATGCAAGCAAAATTCCAAAAGGAACAAAAGACTAAGCTAAATGCAGCCCATGTGGTATTGCTGGATTTAACAGTATCTGTGGCAGCTACAGTGGTTAATCCATCACTCCCATGTAGTCACTGCACCTTTTATTGGACATGAAGCTGGCCATGTGTGTAAGAGATTTTTTGTGGTTAAACTATCACCAGGATTTTACTGGAAAACAAAAAGGAGGATCAGAAAGTACTCAGCTATCCTAGAAAATCCAAAATGCAAACATAGACACAGAAGACTTTTAATGCTATAAAAACCTTTCTGCTTCTTGAAGTTAACCCCCCCAAAAGATGATGATAAAGTATTTTTTTGAGATCTTTTTCTTACCTAATAATGACACACTGGTTTTCTCTGTCAATAATCATGTTTCTGTACATGCTGTCTGCAAGAGCATAAATATGTGGTGGGTTTTCATACTGTGCCTAGAAGGGGAAATAGAGAATAATTTTTCAACACAGCATTCAACAATGCAGAAAGAGCAATATAAATTTGTGTTTAAATTGGAAGAATTATTTTCCTAGAAAAACAATCCTTAATCCCACTTTATACTGAATTTTCTCCAGGAATTTTTTTGTTCACTTAATAAAAACAAACCAAAGTCTCTGGGCTTTGTTAGTGATCTTTCTCTCATCCATAATTTTCTCCTAGACTGTCATAAACACCCAGTTCTAAAAATGGTCTGTGCTTGAAATATATTACTTGTCCAAGAGAAACTCACGTAATTTAAGGCTATTCCACCACTGGTCAGATGAAAACAATACGCTGAGTGCCACTCAGAGCCTGCTGTGTGTTTCTCTCATTTGCATCTACTGAGCCCACTCAAACCCAAAGGTTTGCCCAATCTGTGGACGTGCACAACTCAAGAGGAGAGCAAAACTGAATTTTAAGCCTCTAGTATTCTTGTGCTGACTCACTTTTCAAGCTGTATTTTCAGAAGTGACATCTAATTTTGGCATCTCAATTTTTTTAATTGTTCTTGTCCAGTTTATGAGTTCTCAAGTCATAGTCTCCAAATTCACTATTGGCCATTTTGTATTCTGCACCACACTTGAGGCATATGATAGTTTAAAAACTGCCTTTGCATTAACAGGGCCATGTCAAGGAGAGACACCTGGTATAGATTAGAGCTAATCAATACAAGTATTTTCTTGAAATACTAATTCTGTGTTCCAGGGAGTTCAATTTGAAGACTCAATATATGGCAATGGATATCAGCCAAGTTCTCCCAGGCTAGTACAATGCTACCAAGAGGCAGAAACAAATCCTTCCAACTGCTAAACTGTGTAGAATAATATTTCCAGACCCCTGAATACTGCATTACATTTTATAGTGCTTTACTTACTGCTCCTTGGTACATTTCTATTTCCTTTTCCCCAAAATATGGCATTTGCTTGAATGGATTCACAGAGATTAATACAGAGCCAATATATGTCTGCATTCAAAAGAAGTTAAGGTAACAACAGTTTCATAAAGTATTATCTTCCTACTAGTCACAAATAACTTTTCCACCTATTACACTATACAGCACAGCTTCAAATAGTAGTAAAAAACCCCACAGCTTACAACAATTGCTAACAAAAATTTAAATAAAAGGCTTAAAGAACATAAACATATAATTCAATGGGATATTTTCATCTTATCAAAATATTTATTTTAGGATAAGCTAAGTACAGAAACATGTATTAAAGGCCCAAACACGACACACCTTAAATAAAAATACAGAAAGGAAATGGCATATTTAAATAGTTTTGCTCCTTTGTAACTGAGGAGGTCTTATATTGTCAGTATTACAAAATATTGGTTTGACCTTTGCAGAATATAGTGTAGTGACACATTCTGATCTCACAGTGACAGTGCTGAGCACGCACAGCCCAATGGAAACAGCCACTGCCAAGACAATTACTCAGCTGGATGTACTGGTGGGAGCTGAGGGAATTAGGCAATGCAGTGTGTGGTGTTATGAGTGTAACTATTAACAGCCCCTATGAGTCCTACCCTGCAGGTTGCCCTGTACAAACACAATCAGTTTCAAGCTACTATTAGCTTTTTTTGAATACAGTACTTCACCATTCTGCATCCAGCTGCACATGTGCCTATATTTACACAATACTTCAGAAACCTTTGGAACTACACTCAGTGTACATATATGAAGCAACTGATAGTACTTCACAGGCACATAAAGAAGTATCAGCATCATGTTTCATTGAGCTGGGGGTTAGGAGAATATCCACACCAAGGAGTCCAAAATGTTGTACTGCAGGTTTCATTTAACGATCTGGAATTGCTCACAGGCAAATTTGCTATCTAAGCTTTCTGCATACAA